AATCCCAGCTACTCAGGAGGCTGAGGCAGGAGAATCACTTGAACTCGGGTGGCAGAGGTTACAGTGAGCCAAGATCACACCATTGCACTCAGCCTGGCCGACAGAGTGAGACTCTGTCTCAAAAGAAAAAAGAAAAGAAAATGTTCTGTATGTTCATACCAATAATTTTCCTTAAGGTTTGTTCTTTAGCATTTTAACTCCATACCACCTATTGGCTAAATGCATCTCTTTATACTATATTATCCAATATTGTTCTCTTTATACTATATTGGGCTTGTTTGTTCATAGTTTCTAAAATCAGCATGATATTACTATTAACCATTCTTTTTTGTTGGGCTTTCCAAACCCTGCTAGACAAGCCCTCATGGAGCTGTAACACTCTGTGTGAATTATTTATGCAAATATCAAGACAAACTGATGGTAGAAAATGTCTTTTAGGGCTGGGCGCTGTGGCTTACACCTATATTCCCAGCACTTTGGGAGGCAGAGGCGGGTGGATCACTAGGTCAGGAGTTTGAGACCAGCCTGACCAATGTGGTGAAACCCCATCTCTACTAAAAAATATAAAAATTAGCCGGGCATGATGGTGTGCACCTGTAATCCCAGCTACGGGAGGCTGAGGCAGGAGAATTGCTTGAACCCAGGAGGTAGAGGTTGCAGTGAGCTGAGATCATGCCATTGCATTCCAGCCTGGGCAACAGAGCGAGACTCTGTCACACATACACAAAAATGTCTTTTAGTTATGTTGAGTTCATGCTTTTAAAATACATGTGTACTGCCACTTATTTAGACTGAATCACAGTACTGTAATGACTGCTCTGAGTTTCTTCCCAATAGGGTGACTCCAAACATAACTGGGGAGAAAAGGAAGCAGGCGGCCCAGCCTGCCTAGCACAGTGGTGTGGTTCCTGTCGGGCCACATACGTAGCTCTGCCTCATCCGAGTCCCGGCTGTGCCTGCTTCACCCCACCCTCGAATATTTTCAGGGTGGGTTTTTTTTTTTTTCCTTCTCAAATGTAATTTATGAAAAAGTAGGTTACAGAGCTAAGAGCAAACAAACCCATGTGGCATCACATTTTAAACAAAGTCACACTTGCTCTATTTAAGATCAAACTTCTGCAGATCGAACAGAAAGGCCGTTTTCATCTTCCATTTCAAGATACACTTTCAGCAGCTTGCAGAATGGCAGCCAAGATGTGTGTTAATCCTTTCCGTGACCGCGGACTCTGCAGCGGCTGCTGTGAGGCCAGCATCTGAGTTCCACAAGCAGTGAGAGACAGGAATAACAAGGCCAGGTGTTCCCTGCCTGCCCTTGGAGTGAAAGGGCTGCTTCACTGCGCCTCTCCCCTGCGCTGCGGGAAACCACGGGCAGGAGCATGGAGCGTGCCCAGGGACCCGGCCAGGCCAGAGCACCAGGCTAAGCGGTGTTGGCACCCACCCTCGCACACACCTTGGTTTTGGCAGCACGCTTCCCAGAGATCCACATTATATAAGGCTGTGGAAATAAAGTTCCTGAAAGAGAACAGTACGAGAACAAAAATGTGAATGTGTTTCCTCTAGCCCAAATCACCAAATGCTTTAATCCAAATTATTTTTGGATGTTTATTATTATTTTTTAAGTAGATCTGCCTTGCCAAGAATAGAGTGTCTGATTTTGTAAATAATTGGAGTGGGTTTTGTTGTTGTTTATTTTTCATCCCCAGTGAGGAATTGTTTGTGGGTTTGAAATAGATGTGAAAATAACTCAGATTATATCTGAAATGACCCAGTGGCTATAAAATGGCATATTAGTGGAATTATGTCCTTGGCTGTGTGAAAGTGGCTTTTGTGAAGAATTCTGGTCAGTTGGTTTTCTCATGCTGCGTTCTGGAGGATGAATCCAGCGTTGTTAAGGATGTGGAGTGGGATGGCCGGGTGCAGGCTCACATCTGTAATCCCAGCACTTTGGGAGGCCGAGGTGGGTGGATCACCTCAGGCCAGCAGTTTGAGACTGTCTTTGCTGAAAATATAAAAAATTAGCCAGACGTGGTTGCGGGCACCTGTAATCTCAGCTACTCAGGAGGCTGAGGCAGGAGATCACTTAAACCTGGGAGGCGGAGGTTGTGGTGAGCCGAGATCACACCATTGCACTCCAGCCTGGGCGACAAGAGTGAAACTCAGTCTCAAAAGAAAAAGAAAAGAGGGATGTGGAATGGGAAGCTTGCTGACTCAGAGGGTGGTGCCCTGAGCACTGGGATGGTTCTGTCCTTGCTCCCCGTGTTTAGCCAGTGGGGTTACCCATCAGAGCGCCGTAAAATTCCACAGGGCTTAGGGATTAGGTTTTATACCTGTCACAGTGTACAGCCCTGCAAGTTCTGCTTCTCTGAGAGCCTCTGACCCCCTCTTGTCTAGGCAGCGCCATTTGCAGAGGGCTCTGAAGTACAGCTCGGAAGCTGGTTTCCCAACATCACGGGGTGAAGGGGAGTTACATGTTATGCCTGCACTTTGGAAAGATCCCTGGCACCTGTGAGGAAGGTGAACCAGAAAAGAACAAGCTGGGAGTCCAGAGAGAGGATGAGGGATGCGAACAGATGCTGGGGTTAGACAGGCATGAGAGAGAACCTCCTTGAAAGCCCATGTGGCGGCACATGAGTGCTGGGGGCTGGGGGTTGATGGGAGAATCCTATGCCACCTCTGGTGGATCAGATCACTGGGTGACCATGTCTTGGTGACTTCACACGCCATTCCCCAGGCTGTCTGTCCTGGGCAGGGAAAAGATCACAGAGCTTGAGAAGGGACATGGCCCATGCCCTACAGGTGGCTCCGATGATGGATGCCCAAGGGAGTGAGTCTTTGTTGTCGGGTGTTACACGTGGGTGCGAAGTCGACCCCTTGTCTGGCTGGCAGCTGAGAGCTGGAATTTGAGAATGTAGGGCAGCCAGGGAGGTCACTTAGAGACACATTGAGTATGAGGTGTGTCCAATGGGACATCTGCGTGGTTGTGTTTAGCAGGAGTTGAATCCTGAGCTGGGACGAGGGAAGCCTAGGTGGCCAGTGTGAGACTCAGATGTCTTCGGATGTCCCTAGAACAGAACATGATAGGGTCATTTGTACAGCGGTCATAGCCAAGGCCAGAGTCCAGTTTGTTCTTCCTCTCTCCCCATATTCTACCACAGTCCTCATTCTGATTCTTCCTCTGCAGCTTCTCAGTTCCCTGCTAGAATTCCTTTTTTGGGGGGAAAAGGTCTCACTGTCACAAGACTGCAGTGCAGTGACAAGATCTTGGCTTACTGCATCCTCTGCCTCCCAGGTTCAAGCAATTCTCCCACCTCAGCCTCCCGATAGCTGAAATTACAGGTGCACACCACCAAGCCCAGCTAATTTTTTGTATTTTTAGCAGCAATGGGTTTTGCCATGTTGGCCAGGCTGGTGTCAAATTCCTGACCTCAAGTGATCCTCCTGCCTCAGCCTCCCAAAGTGCTGGGATGACAGGCGTGAGCCACCACACCTGGCCTGGAATTTTGTCTGGTCTCTGAGCTGTAGGATGGTCCACTGGTACATTTTGCTCTTGGTCGGCATTGTTTGATGGTGGTGGTAATGGTGGTTCCAGATGATTCTGTGTGTTTCTCCTATTTCTTAGGTGACAGACCCTAGGAAATCCATTTGGTTCCTGCAGATAAGTTAACAGAGAGAGGCTCTCGTTCACCTTTATCAGATGTCACCTGTAGAAAGGTAGCAGACAGCTGGCACACTGCCACTAAGTGCAGAGATGTGATTGCAAACCGAGAGGCCTGATAGCTGCTCTCGGGAGTGAGACTCCTCTGTCCTGGACCATCCTCCCCCGTCCTCCCCTGTCACGTGACTGTGCTTGGTTTCAGAGAGCTAGTGTATTCCCAGGAGAGGCAGGGCTGAGCATTCTTCCTGCTGCGGTTTCCCCTGGCGTCAGTATTTTCCAAAACATTACAAGAACTAACGTGAGAAAAAAGAAATTGCCTTTATCTCTCGTGCCTGACAGCTAATCACATTACTCTGGGGATTAGATAAAAATAAATCATTTTTTATTCCTATAGTTAGCTACTGTGATGACTCAAGTAATCATTTGTGAGAGAATTTCAAAATTTAAATCAGATATGTAGAATTCGGCTTAGGGAACAAGTAAATACAGAAAGGGCCACATGGGCCAGGTACGGTGGCTCACACCTGTCATCCCAGCACTTTGGGAGGCCAAGACCAGTCCGGGCAACATGGTGAAAACCCATCCCTACAAAATACCCGCTCCCAAAAAAAAAATCTGGATGTGGTGGTGCATGCCTGTAGTCCCAGCTATTTGAGAGGCTGAGGTGGAAGAATGGTTTGAACCCGGGAGGTAGAGGCTGCAGTGAGCCAAAGTCACAGCACCACACTGCAGCCTGGGTGACAGAGCCAGAACCTGTGTCAAAAAAACAAAAGACAAAACGGAGTCATGTGAACTTGAAGAGAGTTGGCATTTGTCTCATTAATGATGTTGTAGAGACTATTTGCTCTCAGCTATGTCCCCCTGGAAGCCACCATGGGGACCCCGCTGTGTTCCTGATGTGTCTGGGGTAATGCTTTAAGACCTTGAGGGCAGTGTGGTTCTGTGTTTCCCTGTTCTGTTTTACTCCCTAATACTTTACAAAACTGTGCAATGGGCTGGGTGTGGTGGCTCACGCCTGTAATTCCAGCACTTTGAGAGGCCGAGGCAGTGGATTACCTGAGGTCAGAAGTTTGAGACCAGCCTGGCCAACACAGTGAAACCCTGTCTGTACTAAAAAATACAAAAAATTAGCTGGGCGTGGTGGTATGCACCTGTGATCCCAGCTACTTGGGAGGCTGAGGTAGGAGAATCACTTGAACCTGGGAGGTGGAGGTTGCAGTGAGCCAAGCTCGTGCTATCACACTCCAGCCTGGGTGACAGAGCAAAAACTCCCTCTCAGAAATGAATGAATGGATGAATGAATGAATGCAGTGCTTTCCTCTAACATATCTGGTTTTGTTCACAGGCCATGTCCTCATAGAGATTTCAAGCACCCACAAGAAACTCAACGAGAGTCTTGATGAAAATGTACGTGATCTGTTTTTCTCTTTACAGAAAACACTTGTTTTATGTTTTAGAACTTATTTTGCTTAAAGTCTCAAATCTGGCGTGAATTTTTTATTTCCTTTTGTTAACAGTTTAAAAAATTCCACAAAGAGATTATCCATGAGCTAGAGAAGAAGATAGAACTTGACGTGAAATATATGAATGTAAGTGCACAGTTCTCCAGCCCCAGCCTTGGGCTGCCTGACCTCCCAGCCCGAGGAGAACCCATCCCCACTGTTTACTCATCAGTAGCAAACAGAAGTGGAGTTCGGTGTTGATCATGCCCGGATGCATGAAACCGACAAGGTCCTTTTGGGATGCGTGAGCTGGTTTTTGCTAACATTTGGGGTCTCTCTTAGAAAGCGTAGAGGCCAGGTGTGGTGGCTCACGCCTGTAATCCCATCACTTTGGGAGGACAAGGCGGGCAGATCCCTTGAGGTCAGGAGTTCAAGACCAGCCTGGCCAACATAGCGAAACCCTGTCTCTACACAAAATACAAAAAAAATTAGCTGGGCATGGTGGTGCATGCCTGTAGTCCCTACTTGGGATGCTGAGGCAGGAGAATGGCTTGAACCTGGGAGGCAGAGGATGCGGTGAGCCAAGATTGTGCCACTGCACTCCAGCCTATGCAATAGAGCTAGACTGTGACTTAAAAAAAAGGGGGGGGGGCATGGCACCACCCCTTGTTTGTCCACTGTTGTTCATTCCAGCAGGTTTCTGCAGGTCCCCTTCAGGGTGGCCCTACAGCCCCAGTATTCAGCGTTCTTGCCAGCTTCCTTGCTGCTGTCACCCAAAGTCCCTTTCTGCTCACCAAGCCCTCTGCGTGGCAGTCAGTGTGCAAGCTACCCTGAAATCATCCCTTTTTTGTGGTCCTTGTTAAGCCTGCTGCCTGTCTTTGCACTCCGGGCAGGAGGCCACAGGATCGTACAGCTGCTACGGTACGTTTCATGCCAAGTGGTTTACATATGTTATCTGATGGTTATCCCTCAGAAACTCTAAAACATAGACACCTGCTTTTTTTTTTTTTTTTTTTTTTTGAGATAGAGTCTTGCCCTGTCACCCAGGCTGGAGTACAGTGGAGGGATCTCAGCTCACTGCAACCTCTGTCTCCTAGGTTCCAGCAATTCTCATGCCTCAGCCTCCCAAGTAGCTGGGATTACAGGTGCTTGCCACTGCACCCTGCTAATTTTTGTACTTTTAGTAGAGACAGGGTTTCACCATCTTGGCCAGGCTAGTCTCAAACTCCTGACCTCATGATCCACCTGCCTTGGCTTCCCAAAGTGCTGGGATTACAGGCATGAGGCACTGCACCCGGCCAGACACCCTTCTTAACCGCACTTCACAGATTATAGGGAAAATAGGGATTTGAATTCTGATGTGGGTCTGTTAGACTTAAGACCCTGAGCTCTCTGGATGTGGTGGCCCACCCCTGTAATCCCAGCTACTAGAGAGGCTGAGGCAGGAGAATCACTTGAACCTGGGAAATGGAGGTTGCAGAGAGCCTAGATCGCGTCACTGCACTCCAGCCTGAGTGACAGAGTGAGAGTCAGTCTCAAAAAAAAAAAGAGACCCTGCATTCTTAAATACTCTGCAACACAGCACCCAAAACAACCCTAAGCTATTGCACCTGTTCATTCTGTTTCTTGAAATCGTAAATCATAAAACGGCCAGGAACATGTGACCTAATGTTGTCTATTTCTTCGCCAAAGTGCTTAACCAGTTTGGTGGCTAAGTGCTTTGGGTGGGACTTTGAGACTTTGGGTGGCAGAAGAAAGTTAACCACCCCCCGTCAAAAAGCCTTTGAGGAAAGAAGGAATAAAAGAAAGAGAAGATGTCCTCAGAGAACAGCCATCCTGGTCAGGGGCTCCTCGTTCAAACAGGGACCTTTAGAACAAATGCAAGACATTAACATTGAATGGAGGGGGCCATGTGAACTGAGGGGTGAGGGCCCTAGCCAGTGTGAGGGTCCCAGCCAACATGCAGATGGTGTGAGCTGTGGGCTCAGGGACCCAGCCAGCATAAGGATGGTGTAAAATGAGTGAGGGCCCCAGCCATTGTGAGGATGGTATGAACTGTGGGGTGAGGGTCCCAGCCAACATACAGATGGTGTGAACTGCAGGGTGAGGGTTCCAGCCAGCATAAGGATGGTGAAGTGAGTGAGGGCATTGGCCAGTGTGAACTGGCCCAGGGTGAGGGTCCCAGCCACCATGCAGATGGTGTGAACTGCAGGGTGAGGGTCCCAGCCAGCATAAGGATGCTGTGAAATGAAGAATGAGGGCCCTGGGCAGTATGACGATGGTATGAACTGCAGGGTGACGGTCCCAGCCAGCATAAGGATGGTGTGAAATGAGTGAGGGCCCTGGCCATTGTGAGGATGGTATGAACTGTCAGGCAAGGGTCCCAGCCAGCATGCAGATAGTGTGAACTGCAGGGTGAGGGTCCCAGCCAGTGTGAGGACAGTGTGAACTGCAGGGTGAGGGTTGCAGCCAGCATGCAGATGATGTGAACTGAGGGTGAGGCCAGCATGAGGATGGTGTAAAGTGTGGGTGTGGGGACCCCGGGCAGCAGGAGGATGGTGTGAACTGGCTTGGGTGTGGGGGCCCCAGCCAGCGGGAGGATAGTGTGAAACTGGTGTGGGTGTGGGGGCCTCAGCCAGAGGAAGGATGATGTGAAACTGGCATGGGTGTGGGGGCCTCAGCCAGCAGAAGGATGGTGTGAACTGGTGTGGGTGTGGGGGCCCTGGCCAGCGGGAGGATGGTGTGAACTGGTATGAGTGTGGGGGCCCCAGCCAGCATGAGGATGGTGTGAAGTGAGAGTATCAGGCCCTCAACAGCCACACACAGTGGAAGTGTAAGCAGAAGCAACTGCGTGACAATTTGTGTGGCACCACAGTAAAATAAGCACAGCATTTAACTTACAGGCAACTCTAAAAAGATACCAAACAGAACACAAGAATAAATTGGAGTCTTTGGAGAAATCCCAAGCTGAGTTGAAGAAGATCAGAAGGAAAGGCCAAGGAGGACGAAACGCACTCAAATATGAACACAAAGAAATTGAGGTGAGCTTTTTAGCAATATCTTGTTTTCTTTTGTTGTTGATAATTTCTACAGTTTAAGAGGAGGTTGGCTGGGTGTGGTGACTCACCCCTTTAATCCCAGCACTTTGGGAGGCCAAGGTGGATAAATCATTTGAGGTCAGGAGTTCAAGACCAGCCTGGCCAACATGGTGAAACGCCATCTCTACTAAAAATACAAAAATTAGCTGAGGTGGTGGCAGGTGCCTGTAGTCCCAGCTACTTAGGAGGCTGAGGCAGGAGAATTGCTTGAACCTAGGAGGCAGAGGTTGCAATGAGCGAAGATTGTGCCACTGCACTCCAGCCTTGGTGACAGAGCAAGACTCCATCTCAAAAAAAAATTTTTGAAGTTGATCTCATAGACGTGGGAAGTAGAATGCTCTAGAAAGCTGAGGATGGTGAGTGTGTCGATGCCGGGGGAGGGGGTGGATGAAGGAGTAGTTGGCTAATGGGTACAAACATACAGATTGATGAAAGGAATAAATTCTAGTGTCCAGGAGCAGAGTAGGGTGACTGTAGTTAACAGCAATGCATTGTCTATTTCAAAATAATTAGAAGAGAGATCTTGGAATGTACCCAACACACAGAAATAATAATTTGAGGTGATGGACGCCCAAGGACCTTGCCTTGATCATTATTACATGTGCCCCATAAATATATATAAATACCATGTATCAGCTTTTAAAAATAAGCATTTTGACTGAGAGCTGAAGGATGTGGAGTTTTCCAGAGTTAGGAATAATCAGTTAGCAGCCTCCTGCCAAAACATGGGCTTTTTCTCCTGGCTCTGAAAGGAGAAGGGACTCTCCATGATTGGTGTTACTATTCCCATTGTGCAGATGGGGAAAATGAGGCTTAGGTTATATCATATTTTATTATTCCATTTTCACGCTGCTGATAAAGACATACCTGAGACTGGGCAGTTTACAAAAGAAAGAAGTTTAATGGACTCACAGCTCCACGTGGCTGGGGAGGCCTCACAATCATGGCAGAAGGCAAGGAGGAGCGAGTCACTTCATACATGGATGGCAGCAGGCAAAGAGAGAGCGTGTGCAGGGAAACTCCCGCTTATAAAACCATGAGATCTTGTGAGACTCATTCACTATCACAAGCCTAGCACGGGAAAGACCAGCTCCCACCAGGTCCCTCCCGAAACACATAAGAATTATGGAAGCTGCAATTCAAGATGAGATTTGGGTGGGGACACAGCCAAACCATATCACATATTGCTGGCATTTGAAACTGGGTTTGAACCTAGAACTCTCTGGTTCCAAAGCCCATGATGCTTCCCCGTAGGACACAATCATATCTCTGGAATACAAAGTAATATTTGTGCAAATCACTCCTGGGAATATCACGCTGTTCAGCAACTTCTCTTTGCACATGAGTCAGGGACCTCAAGGAGAACAATGGTATCTACCTAGGTCAGGTTACAACGTACTTTCCTCTCCTGTGTTTACCCTGTTATTCAAATAAAGCAGGCATGAAGATGGCAGAAGGTAAACATCAGGCTGCGTGCCATCTGATGCTCGTGTCATACTTACGTAATTATTATTTATTATTTTAGTACGTGGAGACCGTTACTTCTCGTCAGAGTGAAATCCAGAAATTTATTGCAGATGGTTGCAAAGAAGCTCTGCTTGAAGAGAAGAGGCGCTTCTGCTTTCTGGTTGACAAGCACTGCAGCTTCGCAAACCACATACATTATTATCACTTACAGGTGGGTGTGGTGGCAAATTGCATTGAGTGTATTAATAACTTTATTTCATATTTAAATGCCCCAGAAGGCTGGGCCATGGTTCATGCCTGTAATCCCAACACTTTGGGAGGCTGAGGCAGACGAATCACCTGAGATCAGGAGTTCAGGACCAGCCTGGGCAACATGACAAAACTCTGTCTATAAAGAATTTAAAAAACTAGCCAGGCATGTTAACATGTGCCTGTAGTCCTAGCTACTCAGGAGGCTGAGGTGGGAGGATCCCTTGAGCCTGGGAAGTTGAGGCTGCAGTCAGCTATGATTGTGCCACTGCACTCCAACCTGAGCAACAGAGCAGGACCCTGTCTCAGTCAGTCCATACATGCAGGAATGTACATACAGGCACACCCCTCACCTTCCACAGGTCCCCAGTATAAAGCAGGGGGCCATTTTCCCAGTGAAAAGATTCTAATAGGCCAGGCACAGTGGCTCACACCTGTAATCCCAGCACTTTGGGATGCTGAGGCCGGTGGAGCATGAAGTCAGGAGATCAAGACCGTCCTGGCCAACATGGTGAAACCCCATTGCTACTAAAAATATAAAAATTAGCCAGGCCTGGTGACACACGCCTATAGTCCCAGCTATTCGGGAGGCTGAGGCAGGAGGAGATTTGCTTGAACCTGGGAGGTGGAGGCTGCAGTGAGCTGAGATCATGCCACTGCACTCCAGCCTGGGCAACAGAGTGAGACTCTGTCCCCCTACCCCCAAAAAAATTAACAAAAAATACATCCATATTTAAAGTCCTTCATAAAATAATGCTTCATCACTGAGAATAGCACACGTTTTCTCTTCTCACCTGCGAGTCAGCTTTTCCCAGGCTCTCTCTGATGTGTCCTCAGCATCAGTGTCTTCACCATAGCTGCCGGTGAGTCCCAGCGGGCCCAGGTCTACCCCACCTGGGCAATTTAAGATGCTCCCTTCATGGGTCTGTGTATGGGGGTCACGGGCAGTTCTGTCCCAGCCCACGGGCCCCATTCACGCACGTCAGTACAGCTGGGTTCAGTGATGCATTCATTCCTCTTGATGGTGTTTGTTCCTGGTTTCTTCAACTGAATGACCTCATCACCCTCCTTCCAGCACATGCAGCTGCGAGCTTAGAACCCCCAGGAATCATTATGCAACATATGCCATAATGTGTTGTTTTAAGTTACGAACTGTTTTGGGCCTTCGTAAACATCCAAAACTAGCAGTGGTTGAGGCCAAATATTCATTGTTGTTGATAGTAAAGTTAGAGTGTTCCAAAATATAAGAAGCTTTGTAAGAGCTTGCATATGAGTCAACTTCATCTTTGTTTTAAAGTAAAAATACCTTGTATGTAGGCAAATGTATTTTCTATACACTTTTTACAACTTTAAAGAGTATTCAGGACTGGGCATGGTGTCTCACACCTGTAATCGCAGCACTTTGGGAGACCCAGGTGGGCAAATCACTTGAGGTCAGAAGTTCGAGACCAGCCTAGTCAACATGGTGAAACCTGTCTCTATTAAAAATACAAAAATTAGCCACGTGTGGTGGGCGCCTGTAATCCCAGTCACTTGGGAGGCAAGGCAGGAGAATTGCTTGAACCTGAGAGGCTGAGGTTACAGTAAGCCCAGATCACACCACTGCACTCCAGCCTGGGCGACAGAGTAAAACTGCCTCAAAGAAAAAAAAAAAAAATGAAGGAATGTTCAGTTCCCTAAACTAAAACAGATTTAAAATGAGTACAGCAGACCAGGCACAGTGGCTTATGCCTGTAATCTCAGCCCTTTGGGTGGCCAAGGCAGGAGGATCACTTGAGCCCAGGGCAATATAGTGAGACCCTGTCTCTACAAAAATAAATTTTTTTTAATTAGCCAGGTGAGGTGGTGTGCACCTATGGCCCCAGCTACTCAGGAGGCTGAGGTGGAAGGATTGCTTGAGCCCAGGAGTTCGAGGCTGCAGTGAGCTGTGATCATGCCAGTGCACTCCAGCCTGGGTGACAGAGCCAAGATCCTCTCTCAAAAAAGAAAAAGAAAATGGTTAAGGCGGTGCGCGGTGGCTCACGCCTATAATCCCAGCACTTTGGGAGGCCGAGGTGGATCACGAGGTCAAGAGATCGAGACCATCCTGGTCAACATGGTGAAACCCTGTCTCTACTAAAATTACAAAAATTAGTTGGGCATGGTGGCGCACGCCTGTAGTCCCAGCTACTTGGGAGGCTGAGGCAGAAGAATTGCTTGAACCCAGGAGGTGGAGGTTGCAGTGAGCCGAGATCGTGCCACTGCACTCCAGCCTAGGTAACAAGAGCGAAATTCTGTCTCAAAAAAAAGAAAGAAAATTGTTACAGCCAAGGAAAGAATTGCTGTATCAGGTGATCACTTTTGTCAACAGCGCATCTGTACTAGTTTTGAGAATGCAGAGTTCACTTTAGAATCTTCTCTTCCCAGAGTGAGGGCATCCTGTGGCACCAGCATCGCAGGCTGGAGGGTTCAGAGGTGACCTGGAGGTCCTCTTCCTGTGTGACACCCCACCATGTCATGAGGCAGCCTGGCCCCTTTTCAGGGAGCTCCAGTTATCAGCAGAGTCTTTCTTAGACTTAACCATGGGTCCCAGTAATGCTTTATAGAGTGACACAGACCAAACCTGCTCCTTTATATACTGGAAGTTTCTTCAACTGTCTGAAAACTGATTTTGTGACTTGCCTTAATTCAGCTAAAGCACCCCAGACCTTTCCATGGAGCTGGGATGAGGCAGGCCCAAGCAGCTGGTCCGCGTTGCTGCAGAGGGTCAGGGTGATAGCCGGGGGTCGGGTGGTGTTGACCTGGTGTGTCAGTGTGACAGTTGGGGGTGGGACGGCATTGACCTAGTGTGTCAGGGTGACATATGGGGACAAGGATGGTGTGGGGGCTTTGCCCCCCCCAGGACTGACATCAGCTCCCCTGCCCCTCTTTGTAAACTGCGAGGCTGATTAAAAGCAGCGTGACTGACATGTACACAACTGCAGGGCAGGCCCCTGACTTCCCTTTTCTAACCAGAGTGCTGCTCAGAAAAGGGGTTCACTGGAAGGGCCTGGGGGCCCCTCTGGGAGCCCAGTTGTCAGGAGCAGAGCCAGGCTTGTGGATGCTGGAGGGGCGCTCGGCCTCCAGGGCTGCAGGGTCTCATCTCCGCTGGTCAGGGTCTGCTCTGCAAAGCCTTGTCGGGCCTGTGATGGGGTCCCCCTCAGCACTGCCCACCACTCACCGACGACAGTCCCTCTTTCCCCTGGATACTCTCTGGACAGAGTCTGAGTCACTTCTCTAATGCATGAGCCGGTCAGAGTCAGCTCCTGGGCCGGTGGCCTGTGTTGGAAGCGCTGCTTTTAGTTGGAGTGGGAGGGAGAAAGTGATGGTTAGTTAGTGTTTCGGGGGCCACCTGGAAAACAGGATTCATGCAGATTGCTCCCTGCCTTCCTTTGAGTTTCTGTTCTTGTTCTTAACCATTTACCATCCCCGTATTAGTCCTAAGCTCTGTATTCACAGACAGAGAGCAGGAAATTTCCGTTTGATTCACAGTTCATGCCCCTCTCAGCCAGTGAGATATAGCAGATGCCCTAGGTGCTTAAACTGCTCCCCGAGTTTAACCCAGAGCCCCCACACTCCTGGTGCTAAGCCAGCAATAGGTTATCAGCAATATGACGAGATGGAATTTTTCTCAGCTCTTCAAACAGTTGTCTTTGTCTTTAGTCTTCTTCTTTTGGATTTGCAGTCTGCAGAACTACTGAATTCCAAGCTGCCTCGGTGGCAGGAGACCTGCGTTGACGCCATCAAAGTGCCAGAGAAAATCATGAATATGATCGAAGAAATAAAGACCCCAGGCTCTACCCCCGTGTCCGGGACACCTCAGCCTTCGCCTATGATCGAGAGAAGCAATGTGGTAGGGGTCAGTTTTCTCTTCCAGATTTCAATTGTGTGTTTCCTAACTTCACCCAGGCCAAATTCGTCTTCGGTGGTAGATATCACAAGTCCTCCTTTATGACTTCCAAGGCCATCTTTTTGCACCTCTAGCCTTACCTTCAGGTGTGAAGTTAGCTGGGCACATGTTTTATACTATGTTTGGTGCTATTATCTTTGTTTTGGAAATTTTATTCTTACTGGGTTTTTTTTGTTGTTGTTGTTGTTTTTTTGAGACGGAGTCTTGCTCTGGAGTGCGATGGTGTGATCTCAGCTCACTGCAACCTCCACCTCCTGAGTTCAAGCGATTCTCCTGCCTCAGCCTCCCTAGTAGCTGGGATTACAGGTGCCCACCACCATACCTGGCTAATTTATTTTATTTTATTTTTTTGGAGATGGAGTCTTGCTCTGTCACCAGGCTGGATGCAGTGGCACCATCTTGGCTCACTGCAACCACCACCTCCTGGGTTCAAGTGATTCTCCTGCCTTGGCCTCCCGAGTAGCTGGGACTACAGGCATGCGCCACCACGCCCAGCTAATTTTTTGTATTTTTAGTAGAGATGGGATTTCACCATGTTGGCCAGGATGATCTCTATCTCTTGACCTTGTAATCCACCTGCCTCAGCCTCCCAAAGTGCTGGGATTACAGGTGTGAGCTATCGCACCCAGCTTCTTGCTGTTTTTAATTGTTATCATTTCAACTAAGTTTATTCCCAAGGAAGGAGCTGTAGGTATCTCACAAAATAAATTAGACACACTCTGATGCCATTCATCACAATGTCAGGCACTTCAAGAAAAAAACAGGCATCAAAGTATTCACAGTAATGAATTCGTACATTTGTAGTTTGCTGATCTTTGAACCTGGGCTCTGTGTGGAGACTGGGATGTAGCAGGTAGTTTAAACACATGGGGCTGCTCTTTCTGCCCATCTCAAACACCCTGAAATGTGGCCGGGTGCAGTGGCTCACACCTGTGATCTCAGCTTACTGCAACCACTGCCTCCTGGGTTCAAGCGATTCTCCTGCCTCAGCCTCCTAAATAGTGGGACTACAGGTGCACGCCACCACGCCCAGGCTCAGTGGCAGGAGATCTGCGTTGATGCCATCAAAGTGCCAGAGAAAATCATGAATGTGATCGAAGAAATAAAGACACCAGCCTCTATCCATGTGTCCTACCCCCGCAACTTTGGGAGGCTGAACACTTGAGGTCAGAAGGTCGAGAGCAGCCTGGCCAACATGGTAAAACCCCATCTCTACTAAAAATACGGAAAATTGCTGGGTGTGGTAGCACCTGCCTGTAATCCAGCTACTCGGGAGGCTGAAGCAGGAGAATCATGTGAATCTGGGAGACAGAGGTTGCAGTGAGCCGAGATCATACCCTACCCGCTATACTCCAGCCTGGGCCACAGAGTGAGACTCTCTCAAAATAAATAAATAAAAATAAAGCCTATGATTTTTAAAAAAACAGCCTTGGGAATCTGTGTAATTCCAATTCTTCATGATACTACTATTAGACTAATATAGAATTTTTCACAGGTTAGGAAAGATTACGACACCCTTTCCAAATGCTCACCAAAGATGCCCCCCGCTCCTTCAGGCCGAGCGTACACCAGTCCTTTGATCGATATGTTTAATAACCCAGCAACGGCCACACCAAAATCAGAAAGGATAAATAATTCAACAGGTAAGAGATTTCTTTGAAGATACATTTTAAATTTGTTTTAAGATAAGCTGTGAAATAAATATTTTGGATAAATGTGTTGCAAGGTCTGGAGGTAAACAAGCAGGTAGGGTGGATACATTCAGCCCTGGCTGTGCAGGCATGAGTTCAGAACAAATACAGGTCTAGACTGTGAGACGCACTGATAAGTGATAGATTTCTCTGACACTCACCAGTTCTGCACACTGACTGATGTTTAGCCAGCACTGTTGAGAATTAATATATTTACAAACAAATGGAGGCTGGGCGTGGTGGCTCATGCCTGTAATCCCAGCACTTTGGAACGCTGAGGCAGGTGGATCACCTGAGGTCAAGAGTTCAAGACCAGCCTGACCAATATGGTGAAACCCCATCTCTACTAAAAATACAAAAATTAGCCAGAAGTGGAGGCATGCACCTGTAGTCCCAGCTACTCGGGAGGCCGAGACAGGAGAATTACTTGAACCCAGAAGGCAGAGGTTGCAGTGAGCTGAGATCACACCACTGCACTCCCCTAGACAACAGAGTGAGACTCTGTCTCAAAAAGAAAAGAAAAGAAAATTGCTGGTGGGTTCAACACCAGCAAGGTAGAGAGTGGCAGGTTAAAGGGACAGCAAGGTGTTTGTTGCAATCATGAAGAATCTGCAAGAATAAAGCAGAAAGAGATCTGGCATTGTTTTAAATTAAAGATGCTTGCTGTATTACTAGCTTGGGAAAACTTGAATGGAAAACAAAAATATATATATATTTTTAAATGGCCCAGAAGCAGTGGCTCACACCTATAATCCCAGCACTTTGGGAGGCCAAGGTGGGAGGATCGTTTGAGGCCAGGAGGTCAGGACCAGACTGGGCAACATAGTGAGACACTGTCTCTACAAATAAATTAAAAATGAGCCTGGCATGGCAGAGTGTGCCTGTAGTCCCAGCTACTTAGGAGGCTGAGGAGGGAGGATCCTTGAAGCCTGGGAAGTTCAGGCTGCAGTGACCTGTGATCCTGCCACTATACTCCAGCCTGGGCAACAGAATGAGACTCTGTCTCACATGTTATGCATACATATATGTATATATTTTACCTTTTTTTCCCCTGGAGTGGAAATATCAGCTTGTGTTTGAATGGACACATGAACAGTACAGCCTCATGCTCATGAGTAGAGGCCCTGGGGTGGGCCTGCTGGAGCTGCGTCCTGGCCCAGCCTAGCACCTGCCAGCTGTGGGGTCTGTCCTGTGGATGATGGCAGCACCTTCCTCCTGGGAGCCTGGCAGGATGGCAGCTGTGAGGCATTGAGATTGGTGACGGTCCCCTGATGAGGAATCCAAAAATGGAACTCATCCTCACCTCATCCTTCCCACGCCCAGGGGTGAGAAGCTGAGCAGCCGGCATGGCAAGACCGACTGCATTTGCAGTTTTCTTCTTTTCCTTGTGGACATTGGCAGTTGCGTTTGAACTGTGGCCCCAGCCTGCCTGTGCGATTGCAATTGCAAGGGCGGTTTGGCGGCAGAACAGTTTGCCTCTCTCAGGAGAGCCATCCTGGCCAAAGCAGAGCGCAGATAAACCTGGCAGACGCTGCCTTGTCCTTGGGTCTGAAAAAGAGCCCGCAGCTGCAGGGATCCTCTCCTGCACTGTGCGTGGCTTCAGGCCGCGGGCTGCCTCCGTTTCTCAGCAGTCCCTGTCCCTTCTGGGCAATGATCAAGGCGAGGAAATAGGACAGGGTCAGTTTCCGTGGAAGGAGCGTTGCTGGCAAGATGGGCACGAGTGGCTGTCTGGGGTTTGCTCATTGGAACATGCCTATTGATTCTCGTGCTTTGAGAAGCTATTACCACTACACCCCCTCCAACAGATACTTCCGAAGATCCCAGTTTACAACGATCAGTTTCGGTTGCAACTGGACTGAACATGATGAAAAAGCAGAAAGTGAAGACCATCTTCCCGCACACTGCGGGCACCAACAAGACCTTACTCAGCTTTGCACAGGGAGACGTCATCACGCTGCTCATCCCCGAGGAGAAGGATGGCTGGCTGTACGGAGAACATGATACGTCCAAGGCGTAAGTCTGGGCATGATGGTCCCCACCGGGCTCCAGACGGCCACTCCCTTCCAGAGCAGCCACGCTGCAAGTCGTCTTTGTGGACATGTTCACATTTTAGCCGAAGTTTATGGTTTAGTTCTAGTTTAGTTAGCTCGAGTTATTCGATCCAAGGCTATTTTCTGTATGTCTGTGCATGTAGAGATACAATGGTGCATGCCTAGGTTATTAGATCATGTGAAGTCACCTCTCTGAAAGTAGTAAACATTCTTTTGTTTTTTAAAAAAATTTAGCGTTTAGCCAAGTGCTATGCATCCCAGCACTTGGGGAGGCCAAGGCGGGTGGATCACCTGAGGTCAGGAGTTCAAGACCAGCCTGGTCAACATGGTGAAACCTCATCTCTACTAAAAATACAAAAAGTAGCCAGGTGTGGTGGTGGGCACCTGTAATCCTAGCTACTCGGGAAGGTGAGGCAGGAGAATCTGGGATTGAACCTGGGAGGTAGGGGTTGCAGTGAGCCGAGATGGCGCCACTGCACTCCAACCTTGGGTAACAGCAAGACTCCATCTCAAAAAGAAAATAATAATAATAATAATAAACGTTTGATTTCTTGAGGATCTGCATATCAGATATACTTTGTTAAGGTTTAGCACATAGGTAGTTTGAATGCCATCCTCATAATTTCAGCCATAAGTATGTGCACAAGTCTTACTGTAACTAGCTTGTCAGTTTTCTAGATACATTGTTCAGATGTATTAAATAAAACCATATGAACAATAAATAAAAGGGTAATCCAAATCAAATTAATGTTATACATACAACATATTATTGCTTTTTAGCCAGGCATGGTGGTACACGCCTCTGGTCCCAGCTACTCGGATGCTGAGGTGGGAGGATTGCTCGAGCCCGGGAGTTTGAGGCCACAGTGAGCTACGATCACCCCACTCACTCCAGCCTGGGCAACAGAGCAAGAGCCTGTCTGTATTCTTTTTTTTAAAAAAAAAAAAAAAAAAGGAAAACTTTTGTTTGTTTTTGAGACTGAATCTCGCTCTGTTGCCCAGGCTGGAGTGCAATGGCACAATCTCAGCTCACTGCACCCTCCACCTCCTGGATTCAAGCAATTCTTCTGCCTCAGACTCCTGAGTAGCTGGGATTACAGGCGCCTGCTACCACGCCCAGCTAATTTTTGTATTTTTAGTAGAGACAGGGTTTCACCATGTTGGCCAGGCTGGTCTTGAACTCCTGACCTCATGATCTGCCTGCCTTGGTCTCCCAAAGTGCTGGAATTACAGGCATGAGCCACCACGCCTGTCCAAGAAAAACTTAACAATACACATTGTTCAGTATGTCTGAAAGTCCATATTTATCTATTCAAAGCCTTAATTTCATTCACTCCACACGTGGGCCTTTATGGTGCAGTCTGCCCTGAGCTTTCATCAGCCTGTTCAGGGTGATTGCCCTGCCCACTTGCCTACCGCTGATAGGGTCTTTTCTCCCTCTTTGCCTGTAGGAGGGGCTGGTTCCCGTCGTCATACACGAAGTTGCTAGAAGAAAATGAGACGGAAGCAATGACTGTGCCCACACCAAGGTAGCCCTGAGTGTGGCTGAGCTCTCTCAGCGACAGAAACCCCTGCCTGATATCTCCATAACTCATCACCACCTAGCTCTAGCTCTGTCACAGGCCCTGCCCTCAGCCTCGGCTCTCGCGGATCAGTGAGAGAAGAGACTGCAGTTCACGGTGCTGTCTGCCGTGATTTCTGTTGTCCCTGAGCTTTGCTGACTGTCTGCTGTTAGGAGACACAGCCCAGGCCACCTCCTCTCCCCACTTCTGCAGCCCCCTGAAACTCCTTCCCTGTCCCCTGCACCTCCTGGTCACTAAATCCAAGGCGTATGTTTTCCATCCTTATCTTACGTAGCAGCCCTTAGCACTGTTGTATGCTTTTTCTAGAATGTTCTCTGACCCTGGCTGCTTGACCTGTGCTCTGTTATTTGCCTCACCAGCTCTTTACACCCTCTTCTGCCCATCAGTGTTTTTGGGGGTCACCCTGGGTCCATCCTTCCTGCCTGTGCTGGGCCATCTCGTCCACTCCCGTGGCCTGAAGTACCCTGATGACCTTCGCCGAGCACCTGCTTGCTGAAAACCCCCAAATCCATATTCCAGGCCAGATAATAACAGTAGTTACTGCGTTGATTCTCTCATTTAATTCTCCCAGCATCCCCATGAGGGTGGGCCCCCACTTTAAAAAATGAGGCCAGGCCAGGCGCGGTGGCTCACGCTTGTAATCCCAGCACTTTGGGAGGCAGAGGCCAGTGGATCATGAGGTCAGGAGTTCGAGACCAGCCTGACCAACACAGCGAAACCTCGTCTCTACTAATACAATAATTAGCTGGGCGTGGTGGCACACACCTGTAATCCCAGCTACTCAGGAGGCTGAGGCAGGAGAATTGCCTGAACCTGGGAGGCAGAAGTTGCAGTGAGCCAATATCGTGCCACTGCACTCCAGCCTGGGCGGCAGAGTGAGACTTCATCTCAAAAAGAAAAAAAAAAAGAAAAAGAAAATGAAGCCAAGTGTGGTGGCTCACACCTCAAATCCCAGCACTTTGGGAGGCCGAGGGGGTGGATCACAAGGTCAGGAGTTTGAGACCAGTCTGGCCAACATAGAGAAACCCCATCTCAACTAAAAATACAAAAATTAGCCGGGGTGGTGGCACACACATGTGATCCCAGCTACTTGGGAGGCTGAAGTAGGATAATTGCTTGAACCCAGGAGGCAGAGGTTGCAGTGAACCAAGATCACGCCATTGCACTCCAGCCTGGGTGACAGAGTGAGACTCTGTTGCAAAAAAACAAAACAAAACAAAAAAACTTAGAGTGTTTTGTATTGACATATGTACTGTGTGTGGAGGTGGGTGTGAGACTTGAGTTCCGTTTTTGATTTGTGATCGCTCATTACTATCATCCTTGGTCAGGGGCACAGAGGATGTTTGGAGTTTGCACGGTGAGACCTTGTCTTATGTGTGTGCTCTGTCCTTTTTGGGTTTGAGCCCCGCGCCGGTGAGAAGCATCAGCACCGTGAACTTGTCTGAGAGCAGCAGTGTTGTCATCCCCCCACCCGACTACCTGGAATGCTTGTCCATGGGGGCAGCTGCCGACAAGAAGGCAGACCAGGCCAGAACTACATCCACCTTCAAGTCACCAGCGTCCAAGCCAGAGACCGTGGCTCCTGTGAGTGAAGCTGCACGGGGGTGTCCTGTGTACCGGACTCGCTGCCACTGGGAGGCACGGGGCGCTGTTCCCACCGTGATAACCTTGCTCTACTCTGACCCCAGTGGGAGGACAGTCGCTGGGGAGGAGGAGGAGGAGTCTTGTCACCTTTGATCCTCTAGATTCCCTTCCTTGTCATGCAGCCTTTAAACTTCTTGACTCCAGCCCTCCATCTTGTCAGTGACAGTTTACACACAGTAGACCCCAGCTTGCTAGATTCTAATAGATTTCTTATCTCTCCTGCCTGGCTGCAGTTTTTTAGCCATTTAATCACCATTTGCTTCCATTGTCATATGTTCTGAAGGGAGGCTTAGGTTAAAAGTGCTAACTTCATCTTTCTTTAGAAAGTGTACTCCCAGGCACTCCATATGTTATCTTTAACCCTAAACCTCTGGTCTGGGGTCTTAAGGTTAAAGATAACCCTAAAATGCCTCTGGGGGCCTAGCGTACCGCCTGGGCTCCCAGAACCAATTCATCCATTCCCGCAACTGTGCATGTCTGCTGGACACCAGGCCCTGGTGCAGGCTCTCCAGATAGCAATGAACAAGGCAAGACCCTGCCTCTTGGGAACTTCGTTCTAGTGATAGGAAGCAGACAATAAAAAATAAACAAAAACATCGAGATAAAAGCCATGCAGAGGGCCGAGTGTGGTGGCTCACACCTGTAATCCCAGCACTTTGGGAGGCTGAGGCAGGCGAATCACCTGAGGTCATGAGTTCAAGACCAGCCTGGCCAACGCAGCGAAACACCATCTCTACTAAAAATGCGAAAATTAGCTGGGTGTGGTGGTGGGCACCTGTAATCCCAGCTCCTCTGGAGGCTGAGGCAAGAGAATGGCTTGAACCCAGGAGGCAGAGGTTGCAGTGAGCCGAGATCACACCATTGCACTCCAGCCTTGGGGACAAGAGCGAGACTTCATCTCAAAAAGAAAAAAAAAAAAGCCATGCAGAGAATAATACAAGGTGAGGTGACGTTGGGGAGGGGAGGAATGCGGCTGGACATCACTCCCAGGTTGGGTTGGCTGAGGTTGGTGCGCCCTGGCGTGAGACCCGTGGGAGAAGGGAAGGAGGCTGGGCAGTAGTGTCTGCACCCCTCGCTCCAGGAGCTGTCTTTGGCTGAAGGAGCCAGGGTTCTATACCTTGTGTGTGGGGCCTTTGTTCGGCTATGAGTGGTGCCCAGGCAGAGTCTCTCAATTATAGGAAGTGGATGCACTTCTAAAATGTGCCCCAGACCTTCGTGTGACTCCGCGTGAGCCTTGAGGCATCTGGGAACATAGACCTGCCTCAGTGTAGGCTACAGTGGCATGCTTTGGTTTAGGAATGCTAGCTTTTGAAACTGTATTCAAAATGTCTTTGAGGCCAGGTGCAACGGCTCACATCTGTAATTCCAACACTTTGGGAGGCCAAGGCAGGAGGATTGGTTGAGCCCAGGAGTTTTAGACCAGCCTGGGCAATATAGCAAAACCCCTTATCTACAAAAAATACAAAAGTTGGCCAGGTGTTACGGCACATGCCTGTAGTCTCATCTGTTCGGGAGGTTGTGGTGGGAGAATCGCTTGAACCCAGAAGGTCAAGGCTGCTGTGAACCGTGATCATACCACTGCACTCCAGCCTGGTGACAGAGACCCTGTCTCCGAAAACATAAAATGAAAATTGTTGACAGTGTAGTTGTTTGAATCTGGATCCAGATCAGCTCCACACATTGTAATTGGTGGATGGTCTCGTGAGGCCTTCTCTATCTGCCCATCTCCCCTTCTGTCTCTCTTTCTTTGCAATCTGTTTGTAAAAGAACTAGTCGTTTGTCCTGGTGGGTGTCCCCCATGTGGGTTTTGCTGATGGCGTCCTTGCTGCACTCCCCCGTGTCTCCTGTATTTCTGTAAATTGGTAGTAAGGCCTCAGGCCCTGCTCAGAGTCTGTTGCTGCTTTGCTTGTTTGCCTGTTCGGTTTTGCTGGAGCATTTCAATGGCAAGGAGGCACATGGGTACATGTGTTTGTCTCTTTTTGTGATGTTCATAGCTGTTGATGCTCGCCTAGCCTGCTGCTTTATTAAGGTTGGATAATGCCTTTTAAGGTAAAAGAATCTTGCCCCAAAAAATCCGTTAGTTCTGGGCCGGGCACGGTGGCTCACACTTGTAATCCCAGCACTTTGGATCACCTGAGGTCAGGAGTTCAAGACCAGCCTGACCAACATGGAGAAACCTTGTCTCTACTGAAAAATACAAAAAATTAGCCAGGCATGGTGGCACATGCCTGTAATCCCAGCTACTTGAGAGGCTGAGGCAGGAGAATCACTTGAACCTGGGAGGCGGAGGTTGCAGCGAGCTGAGATCGTTCCACTGCACTCCAATCTGGCGACAGGGAGACTCCGTCTCAAAAAAAAAAAAAAAAAAAAAAATCAGTCTGGAATTATAAGTGAGAACACCGACACTTTAGCCAACACAGGATAGTCTCTGGTGTTATGAAACAAAAACGCGCCACTGTCAGCGTTATTTACCATGTGGGTGAAGCTTGGTGAAGAAAGCATTGTCACCGCCGTTCTTACTGCAGGGAACTGGATGAATTGAAGAAGCCTGGTTTTAAGTATCAGTGTACTCAATAATGACAGATTCTTCCTTACTTAGCACTGGGGAGTGTAAAGGTGACCTGGCTTCATTTTTAAACCTCTTCATTGGCTGAATCATGACATTCTGTCAGTGTCAGGCAGCTGCTAGCGATCTGAGGCTTCCTACTTCCTCAGGCAGAGCACACACACTACTGTCTCCGAGGGCCCTGACCCGGAGGGCTGGGCTGGGCTGGGCTGGGGCTGCCTGCGGGGGGCAACCTGGTGCTCTGTAGCCTCCATGGCACAGTTGGCCCAGGTGGACACCACGCCGCCCTTCCCACCTGAGATCCTGTTCTCAGCTCGTACCCACAGCCTTCAGCCTGTCCCCTCCACGGGAGAGATTTCCAGTCATCCTGTCCCCGGCTGCCTCCACAGGCTGCACCCGCCAAAGCTCACTCCCCCACAGACCACCCTCCCTCCCACCTCCACCACACAGACACACACACATGCACGCATGCACGCGCACACACACACCCCCCGTCATTTTCAGGTCCTCAATACACGTACACACACTCACACGCCATCATCTTTAGGTGCCCCCTTTCTGTCTCAAAAGCTAGAAGGCTTTTCAGTCTTTGATTTTAGCAGCCTTTCATTTCTGGTTTCATCTAAGAACATTTGAAAGCCCCAAATAGCTAATGAGAATGCCCTCCTTCTGTGGATTCTAATAATTTCAGTTGTCATTGATTCTGTGTGTGAGTCATGATTGCTGATTAACTTAATGATCACTGAAATCAACGAAAAGGCCTGTCCAGCACAGGGGTGGAGTTGACGCCCACAAGGAGGTCATGCTTATCACTGACAGCAGCTGATATTCCCTGGACAGCAGACTTCTGTCAACAGTCACATGGCAGGGAGGGTTCGGCTGCAGGGGAGGAGTTTTGTGGACAGAGATGAGACCATCCCATCAGCACTCATCCAGCCGGCATCTAGGGGGCGGCTAGTGCCAGGCCTTTGAGACGTAAACAGGAATGAGACCCACGCAGGGGTGGAGTCCAGGGCGCACATGATGCCTGGGGCTAGGACAAGGGGAGAGGCCAGGCTTCCTGGGACATATCAGGGGAGGCTTCTAGGAGGAAAGCATTGGAGCCAAGCTCTAAGGCATGAGCTTCAGCAGAAACACAAGGCCCAGGCATTGTGGTTCCCTGGGGGGACTCAAGAGCTGGGGTCTGGCAGCAGCCAGAGAGGCAGGACGAGCCCCCACACTGGGCTGTGAAGGGAGTGGCGCCACCAGCCCGTGGCCCCCTCCTGTCTTTTGTACCTGCCTGCCCTTCGCACCCTCATGGTGCTTCCTGTGTGGGATCTCCCAGGAGGTAGAGGGATTACGGGGCCTCGGGAAACGGAGAAAGGGAGGCACAGAAAAATGACAGCCGCTCTCCAGGGCCCACGGCAGATTAGAAACCCCGTTCCCGGCCTCCACATCAGTGCACTTTCCCAGTAGGAAACCCCGTGGCCTTCTGCGCACTGTTATTTTAACATCCTGTGAGGACTACAAAAGCATTGTGAGGGGTGGTGGGGACCACAACGGTCACCTGCATCCAGCCTCTGTGGATGCGCTCCTTTTTGTTTTGTTTTGTTTGAGAGGGAGTCTCACTCTGTCATCCAGGCTGGAGTACGAAATCAGTGGTGCGAAATCAGCCCACTGCAACCTCTGCCGCCCGGGTTCAAGAGATTCTCCTGCCTCAGCCTCCTGAGTAGCTGGGATTACAGGCACGTACCACCATGCCTGGCTAATTTTTGTAGTTTTTAGTAGAGACAGGGTTTCACCATCTTGGCCAGGTTGGTCTTGAACTCCTGACCTCGTGATCCACCTGCCTTGGTGTCCCAAAGTGCTGGGATTACAGGCGTGAGCCACTGCGCCCAGCCAATAGCGCTCCTTCTGCTAGACAAGTGACCACGTTTCATCCAGACCAATTCCAGTCAGGAGTTTTGGGAGTGCAGCTGCAGGAAGCAGCCTGCAGAAGTATCGGTGCTGCTCCATGGGCCGTAGCTGGGAGCAGGGAATGGCTGTGTGTTCTGGGCCTCCTGGCCTCGCAGCCTCCTGAACCAGCAGGGAGCACCGATCAAGCATCTGTGTCAGGGATGCTTGCATCCCAGCGCAGATGGAAATGCCCCCTGCCCAGTCCATCAGCCACAGGCACACAGGGCAGCAGAGCGCTTGAAAAACAGATGGTGCAACAAAGGAACTGGATGTTTCATTGTATTTATTTTCATTTATGTATTTATTTCGTTTTTTGAGATTGAGTCTTGCTCTGTCGTCAGGCTGGAGTGCAGTAGCGTGATCTCGGTTCATGGCAACCTCCGCCTCCCGGGTTCAAGCAATTCTCATGCCTCAGCCTCCCAAGTAGCTGGGATTACAG